TGGTGGTGGTGGTTGTGCTGGTGGTGGTGGTATTTAAAAGGGGGGAGGCTGCACAATAGGTCACCCTCAGGAGTGTGAGCTTTCATCTGAGCTGGTCAGCAGCTGGCTAATGTTTGGGGACACAGATAGCTGTGCTGGGTCTGTGACTTTGCAGCGCCCTGGACAGCAGTAGGAATAGGCTGGAGATGGCCAGAAACAAGCTAGGAGTGACCAGCAGGGAGGGGGCCGTGGCCGACTGAGGAAGCGGACCAGGGAGGCCCAGTATGCTAGACGATGCTGCCCTTCCTCCTTCACACGTGTCCACACACACACACTCACATAGACACCCTCCCTGGGACCTGGGCGCACTCACCCACTCCTCCCAGCGTGCAGTCCTCCCAGCCAGCTCCATGGCCTCATTGTGCTCCTGCTCGGCCTCCTGGGCAGCCTCCAGGGCAAGCCGCTCCTCGGCCTCCAGTCGCTCCTGCTCTGCCTTCTCCTCATCTGTCAGCCCGAAGTTACGCGGCTCCCCAATCTCTCTGAGCAGCTGCTTGATGGCCAGCCGGTTGTGCGGGTCCTCCAGCTTGCCCACATCTTTAGACAGGAGGAGAGGCCGTCAGGACCCTCCCACTTGGCAGGCCTGCCCAGGGCCATTCTTCCTGAGGTGGTTGGCTTGGTCACAGGGGGGGTGGGGGGGTGGCGCTCCCTTCCAAGGAGCAAGCAGAGCCCACACCCCTCTTCTCATGGATGAACCTCAGGCACATGGCAGGCAGGGACTTCTGAAAGTGGGCAGTGGGCCCCCTCCTCAGTGATGAGCTCTCCCCACCCTGGCTCCACCCCTGCAGGTCTGGGTGGCTGTGGGATAAGGGAGGTGGAGGAACAGGGTAGGGCTCAGCGGCTGAGGGCTGCCCCATTAAGAGCAGGCTTGGAGCCCTCAGACTCTGCCTGCCACGGGGTGGGGGTGGGGGCTTCTCAGCAGGGGGCTGCACAGGCAGCAGAGAGACGCTCAGAGAGGGACCTGGCTAGTGCCCACAACACTGTCCACCAGACCCAGGACTGGAGCAGCCTCCTCCGGGTTCTGGATTCATGGAGGTGAAGCCAGTAGGGCAGTGACCTTCAAGATGCCAGCGGGCCTTGGAGTCCCCACCTCCCCAGCCCACCCACCCCCACCCCCCCGGCAGTGAGGCCAGGCAAGCCCAAGCTGAGGCCCCATCAGGGCAGAAGCTGAGCTACCATAGGCTGTGGCTCTGCAGTGTGCGATGTCCCCGTGAGCAGAGTGGACAACCATGAGGATGACCCAAGGGGACAGGAGCAGGTATGTGCTAGAGCCATGGTTCTCAACCTTTCTCAAACAGCGACCCTTTCACACAGTTCCTCATGTGGTGGTGACCACCCCCCAACCATAAAACTATTTTCATTGCTACTCCATCACTGTAAATTTGCTACTGTTATGAATCGGGTGACCCCTGTGAAAGGATCCTTCCGCCTCCAGAGCGGTTGCGACCCACAGGTGGAGAACGGCTGTGCTATAGGGTTTTCTGGAGGCAGGTGGTCCCCCTCTGAGCGCAAATGCACAGCTCCTGTGGACACTGTCTCAGGAGCTCAGCCTGAATCTCCCTGCTTTCAGATAAAGCTAGCAGTCCCCCCGACACACACACACCGCCCAGATGCTCAGGTCACATGACCATCCAGGCCTGGAGCCCAGGTCTGGCCAGGGACTCATGGTCACCCCCTCCCAGGCCCCAGCCCTGAGGTGCATGGTCACACACACACACAGGCCCCTCCTACCGATGTGGATGGGGTGGATCTCCAGCTCATCGAAGTAGTTGAAGACGGTCTCGTCGTCAGTGTTGATATCCCGGAAGTTGCTAAGGGCGCGCAGGAAGCGGTCCTGGCTATAGTGGGTCCCGGCCACCACGCTCTCCGGGAGGTTCATCACCCTTTCCTTCAGGAACTCGTCTGAGGCGTCCAGAGCGCAGACGAACTCTGGGGGCAGGGGCAGGGGCAGGGGTCTGACCGGCAGGATTACCCACCACGGGGACTGCAGCAGTGCCTTCCCAACGCTCCCGTGCAGGGCTGAGGGCTGGGGGCTACTGTGGAGACTGCCCTGACACAGGGTGACCCCATGATTGGTCGAGAAACACAGGGTTCTCATTGGCTGAGCTTCGGAGTAGATCGCCAGGCCTTTGTTCCTAGTCTTAGGGTGGGAGCGCCTCTGAAACCTGTTCCACAGCACAGCTGCACAGGGCCTCCAGCAGAGACATGGGTGGCCCCAGGGCGAGGGCCCTATGCCGGAGCCAACTGTCCTCTCCTGGGAGATAGCCAGGCCCATGCCAACTCAGCGTGGCCTTCTAGAACAGAGTAGAACTGGCCCTGTGGGTCTCTGAGAGAGGACCTCTTTAAGGGAGCCGAGAGCCTTCTTCTCCCAGGGGCGGCTTTTCTGGTTTGAACTGCTGACCTTGCAGTATGCCACCCAAGACCTACCGCACGGTGCTACCCCAGCTCACAGCAAGCCCACGCAGGGTTCCAAGGTGATAACTCTTGGTGCAGTGGTTCTCAACCTTCCTAATGCCACAGCCCTTTCATACAGTTCCTCAGGCTGTGGTGACCCCCCCACCATAAAATGATTTTCGTTGCTACTTCATGACTGTCATTTTGCTACTGTTATGAATCGGGCAACTGTCTGTCTTGGGGAGGGCAGCTGGGGCATTCGAACCCCAGCCTTTGGGTTGGCAGTCGAGTGCTTAACGACTGAGCCCCTGGGGGTCCCTGGGGGCCCCTCGTGGAGAATTTGAGAGAAACCTAAGCCCATAGCCATCAGGTCTACTTACTCTCACCCACAGCGACCCCATACGGGTCTCCCCAATTACAGCTCTTCGTGTGGGAGTAGCCAGTGCCCTCTGTCTCCTGCATACAGCATTTCCAGAGCATTCCCTAAGATGCCCCTCCCCGCCCCTCTCCCCACTCTCCTCGCCCCGCCCCGGCTCCTTTTCCCCTACTTTCCCTCCCTTTAAATAAAAGCAGCAGGAATGACACGGAGCTGTTCTCTAAGAATCCTGTGACATCATCTGATTCACCGTCAGCCCCCAACTTGCCCCTTCTTGTGCCAAATCACCAAACTGCAGGCTTCCCAGGACACCTAGACGAAGCTTGGCGGCTAGTGCAAAGAAACAGACCCTCCCCTTGAGTTCGTAGCAGGCCCCAGGTTCAGCCCTCTCCCCCTAATGCCCGGGGGCCTGTCTGTGTTTGTACAGCATGGTCAGCCCTGAGCCAGCAGGCCCTGAGCTCGCAGTCGGTCATCACAGAGGCCATGTGCGCTTCTCCTCGGCACGAAGGCAGCTCCTGTCCCAGCTTCCAGCAATATGTCCCATGGGTCAGTGCAGTGACCTCTGCCCTGTCGACTAGTATTTCCAGATGTGGCGGGAAGTCATTGGGGGTGGGGTCACAGGGAATACACTACCAGTAAAAACGTGGTGAAGCTCAGGACAGAGTTCGTGTTTGCCCTGACAGGGGAGCAGTTTACCCCATAGCAATGCCCTCTACTTTAATGAGTACCCCAACTGTCTTTCTGAGGGGCTGGGAGGTCAGCAGACTAGGGCCAGCAGACTGGGGCGTGCCCTCATAGGGCGGGCAAAACACAAAACCCAAACTGAACTCACTGCTGTTGAGTCAATTTCAACTCACACAGACGCTGTGGGGCAGGGAATGCTGCCCTGGTGCATGTCTGAGACTGCAAATCTCCGTGGGAGCAGACAGCCTCATCTTTCTCCTGCAGAACAGTTGGTGGGTTTGAACCACCAACCTTGGCGTTAGTAGGCCAATGCCTAGCCACCGGGCCACAGAGGGCCCTTCTCCTAACCTGCTGTTCCACCAGGCTCCTGGGAGCATGGCACAGGGGTGCTGTCCTCTCTGGAGGACAGAGAGAAAAGACAACCTGGGGTGGGGGGAGGAAGAGTGATCTCCAAAGAGCAGACCAACCATTCTACGGAGATGACTCGGGAGGGGAGACGCTGAGAGGAAGCATGCGTGGTTAACCTGGCTCCCACTCCCTTCTCTTGTGGAGAAAGGAAACCTCGTTTCATGGCGGTGAGAGTGCTTGAAGCTCCAGCCTCGTCTCCGGAGGATGCTGCACAGCCTTGGAAACCCTCTGGGGTAGGCCACTGCGCCCTGCAGTGTCGCGATGAGTTGGGACTGACCTGATTACAGATGGCTGTGCCATAGATGGGGACCAAAAGGATCTCACATAGCATTCCTTTAACAGTGCCTGGTCTTGGAGGAAGCTATTACACTTACCAGGTATGATTAATTTATCAAAGGGGAACACTTTGCCTCTGATTTCTTCTTCCTCTTCATCCTCTTCTTCTAAAAGAGAGGGGAGAAAGCACATGGGGTGTTTAACACCCTCCAGTCACCGCTGAGCATGTCTTCCCCAAACTCGAGAAGCTTGGCTAGAGGTTGCTAAGGAGGGAGGTGGGTCACAGCCAGAGACGAGGAACCGTGTACTTGAGAGAGCGTCCCTCTGTTTGCCTGCTTGGGTGTTTAAATCGAATGACGACTTCCTCAAAGAGCAAAACTGATCCGGTCGTCAAGCCCCCAGCACCCCGGCTGCTGCCGACTGTATTCCAAGCAGGACTGCACCCCCTGGTTTCCAAGGTTGTACGCTTTACAGATGTGGGCAGCCTCAGCTTTCTTCCACAGAGCGGCTGGTGGGCTTGAACTGCTTTCCTCTGGGACAGCAGCCAAGGCCCACAGAGCATCTCACAGGGCTCCTTTCCCTGGAGGAGTCTTCCACACCAAGGGGGCACCCGTACTCACGGTTGAACAACTCTTTGGCTTGATCGTAGGTCTTTGGGAAGCCGTCCAAAATGTAGCCCTGATTTCTACAAGGCATAGACTTTAGCTTTTCTTTGATGAAGCGAATTATATACTGATCTTCCAGTCGGCCTAGCAAAGAGAAATCAACAGATGACGGGGAGGCCCTGGAGGCATCGAAAAAGTCCTGCGAGGGAAATCCCTGATTCTGTCCTTAAAAACCAAGCCCACCCCACGGCCGCTCCTGGGGACCCTGTAGGCAGTGGCACTGCCCAGGAGGGCGTCTGAGACAGTAAATATTCATGGAAGCAGATGGCAGGCATCCTCCCTTGAGCTGGCTGGCGGGTTTGAACCGCTCACGTTAAGCGCTGCGCCACCAGGCTCTGTGTGAAGGTTCTGCCGTGGGAAGGCGTCACGGCGGAACACAGGAGTGGAAGCCGACGGGGAAGCTGAGTGCGGTGGGGGAGGATGGGGAGGCAGAATGCCCCGGCACCAGCCTGTTTGATTGATATCCCATCTCCACAACCGCCCGGCCCTTTGCTGTGGCCAGCTGTCCTGAGTGCATCTGGCCCGAGGCAGCCCACGCGCGACATGGTGCCCGTCCTACCCTGCTTCTGCGGGAGCAGGTCACCAGACCCTTCTTTGGTGGTGCCTCCAGGTGGGCTCAGAACACCAGCCTTTAGGTCTGTAGTGTGCGCCACCCTCAGTTAGTAGCTAACACCTTTAAAAACACTTCAAAAAGGCTCCCTGTCAGCGAGCCGATTCCAGCCCACAGCGACCCTACAGTAAGGTGACCAGATTTTAACATTGGTAAAGCGGGACACCATTGATAAAACTCATATCCTGGAGAAATAGCCACATGGCAGCCGAAAACTGTATACCCTAGCTTGTCGTGCATTCTTTCCAAAAATCGTGACTTTTTAAAAACACCGCAGGACATGGGGAAAATTGTTAAAAATCGGGACTGTCCCGCCAAAAGCGGGACATCTGGTCACCTTACCCTACAGGCCAGGGTAGAAAGGTCTCCTCTGTCTCCCGCAGAGGGGCTGGGGGGTTAGGACTGCTGACCTTGTGGTTAGCAGCCCAACACATGAGCACGGCACCACCGGGGCTCCCCAAATCAGCGGGACCTTCCCTTCAGTCTGAACCTACGCAGCCTTAATCCGTCAGAGCAGATGCTTCCAATGCGAGAGCCGATCTTCCTGCACGCTTGGCAAGTGACTTGTCAATAGCATGTGCTCAGTAAAAATGTGCTGATCAGACGTCAAGCTTGATTTGTCCCTCACAGGTCCTGCTCCCTCCCTCGCTCCCTCTCTCTCTCTCAACTTTAAATTGCATGGGGTCCATCCGCTGCAGGAGACCTCTGTGAAATGTTGAAAAGCAAGGAGGTTGCTTTGAGGACTAAGGTGTGCCTGATCCACGCCAGGGTATGTGGCTTCCACAGCCTCCCGTGCATGTGAAAGTTGGACACGGAATAAGGAAGCCTGGGGCAGGACTGCGGGGTTTGACTTGTGGAGCTGGAGGGGAGATCGAAAGACTGCTCAAAGGACAACCAAGCTTCTCTTGGAAGAAGGGCGGCCAGAGCACTCCTTGGAGAGCAGCAACGCTCCGAGGGCGGGAATAGGCAGGAAAGGCGGAGGCAGGCGCCCGGAAAGCAGGGAGGAAGTTTAGTACATATTTATTTAACAGGATGACAGCGACAGAAAAATAATAGTCCCAATCGAAGGTGTGACTTAACATGACGGAACCTCTAGAGGTGGTGTTATCGTTTTACATGACTTCCAGTCAGGGTCACAGTGGCCAGAAAATAAAACGAAGCTACATTTTCAGATGTCAGGGGGCTGCACGGAGCCTCAAAGACTGGCATTGTGCTCAGAAATACGGCTGCGGGCCCCTTCAACGCCCCCAGCGGCTTGTGTTTCCCGGGGGCTGGGCTTTGCCTTTTCCTCCTGCACGGGCAGGAAGGGCAGTCGCCCGGCTGCTTCTGAGAGCTGCCGCCAGCTGCTGTTGAGTTGGCGCTGAGGGTGGTAACTGGCGTCTGACTGACAAGTGAGGGGCTGCCTGGCCCTGCCCCCCTGGTCTGATTGCTGAGTGAGGTCCTGCCCCCCTGGCCCTGTCGCCTGGTCACTGTGTAGGTTGAGCGGTTTCCAAGCTTAGGGACGCAGTAGTCTGCTGCCCAGGTTGCCTTTTCCTGGCTAACTTTCAGCCTTGGTGGCTCAGGGGTCAAGCATTCAGCTGCCTCCTGAAAAGTCCCGTGGTTGGGACCCCCCAGCCGCTCTGTGGGAGGAAGGCTCTAAAGACCAGTCCCACAAAGACCACAGCCTTGGAAACCCTTGGGGAGGGGTCATCCCCGACCCCTGTCCCTCAAGGCCTCTGCGAGTCAGGACGGACTCCACTGCACACAGCAGCAATCTTCACGAGGAGGTTGTCAGACCTTGCTTCCTGGTCTGTTTTAGTCTGTCGGCCCCGCTGAGCCCTGGTCACTCTGCCAGTGTTCGACATGCCAGTGGCACCATCCCTGTCTCAGAACAAGAGGAGCCACTTCAGTGGGACAGAGGAGCGGCTGCGGTGTGACAGGTCACTCTCATAGACCTTTCTAGCTGTGGTCTTCCAACGCCCACCAAACGCATGGGTGGAGCTATGCAAATGATGTGCCTGTGGTCCACCAATGGCATTGGACGACTTGCTAATCATGCAAACCAGGTGCACAGCAGCCTTGTGGGGGTGGGGGCCACGAATTGGTCACTTTTGCTATCCTACTAGGTGTAAAAAGGAGGGAAGAGGGACCCAATGACCACCATGAGGAGACAGAAGTAGGGCACATCTTAACAGGTGGGGTCCCTGCGCTGAGAATCTCCTAGACCCAGGGGACAGAGGCAGAACGCTGTCACCCTGGCAACAGTGCAAGATGGTGAGAAATGGCAGCAGCAGAACCGGAGATGGGCAGGACATGGTGCTACGGTTTTCCTGACGAGAAAGCCGAGTGTCTTCTGGCTGAGGCTTATTGGTGGGCTTCAGGGGAGGAGGGTGCCTCTGGGAAAAGATTGGCAGAGCGAAAGATCTTTGTGACATTTGACCTGGCAGGACAGAGTCTGAGCCGGCCCAAGAGGCTGTCCTGATGGAAGAACTGTATCCTGAGTCATTTCTGATCGTGCGTTGTAATCTGTGACTTCCCTAAGAAACCCCATAACCATGAGTTGGGTCTGTGAGTGCCGTGTGGCTATTCCCACAGAGCCAGCCGAGAGGTGGAGAGTGCTGTGCAGGGAGGCTGGTGTCAGCGTGGGTGAGGAGGCTGGAGCGAGGTGGTACATCACAGGGGCACTGATGGGGACTCTACCCAGTGACATCCGAGAGGTCAGAGGATGCTGCTACCACGCCAGCTTTCTGACAGTGGTTCTGGTAATTAGAGGCACGCCCAAAGGCCTTTGTTTCCAGAGCTGCAACCATGTGGAGACAGCTCGGGACAAGCATTGAGCTCTGGGCAGAAGGGTGCCCCTCTTGCTCTGAGAGAGTGAATTTTTATCTCATGACAAAACTACCAGACCAGTTGGGCCTCTCTTGTCCCCTGCCAAGGGCAGGCCCTTCTTGGGCTTGGAGGGTTCTGCCCCAGTTCTGAACACAGGCCTGCGTCCACTGCAGCTCTTGTTCCACATGGTGACCTTCCTGGCTCAGGGAAGGCACTCCATTGGTATCTGCTGTCACACCCACCCCTTGGATAAGACTCACGGGTGACAAAGACCAATTAAGTGAGTCTCTGTCAAGAAAGGGTTATAGTTGTATATTTGTTCAGGCTTTGTCTAGTCCTGCCCCATGAATACAGACAGGAAGACAAGAGCGCTTGGTGGGTGGGTGGGGGGGCAAGGGGCAGTGGCCAAGCACTTGACTGCCAACCAAAAGGTCAGTGGTTCAAACCCACCCAGTGGCTCCCCAGGAGAAAGGCCTTGGTGATCGGTTCTTGGAAAGATTCCCAAACAAACAAACAAAGAAACAAACTCCCTGCCATCAAGGCGATTCCAACTCATAGTGACCCTACGGGGCACGGTAGAACTGCCCTGGTGGGTTTCTGAGGCTGTAAATTTTTTTGAGAACAGAAAGCCTCTTCTTTCTCCCACAAACCAGATGGTGGTCTTGAACTGCTGACCTTGCAGTTAGCAGTACAGCAGGTAACCCCCTACAACGCCATGACTCCTCTATACCACCAGCCTTAGCAACCCTGTCCTAAACGTTGCTGTGTTGTTGTGTTGTTTTTCTTGTTGTTAGGTGTCACTCGGCCGCCCTGTGTACGAGGCGGTGGGTCCCTGCTGCTCCTGTGTCACCTTCACACGCGTCCCTATGCTGGGGCCCAGGAGTGTAGCCACTGGTCAGTCCTCCTAGGCAAGGGCCTTCCTCCTAGCACTGCCCCGTCACTTTACCAGCACGAGCCCCCAGTTGTGCTTCGTCCACGACACAGCAGTGGCTCTCTCGGCAGTCTGCGGCACTTTCGAGCTTCTTCGCCAGCACCATCATTCAAATACATCAGTTTCTCTTCAGTCTTTCTTAGTCAATGTCCAACTTTCACATGCAAGTGGGGTGGCTGGAAATACCAGGGTGCGCTGTGGTCCTGAAAGCAGCATGCTTACTTTTCACCACTTAGCAGAGATCCTGTGCAGCAGACTTACCCAGCGCAGTGAGTCGTTTGATCTTGACTGCTGCTTCCAGGAGCATTGATTATGGATCCACGCAAGGCAGAATCCTTGACGATGCGTATATTTTCTCCGTTTCTTCACCCTGTTACCTTTTGGTTCGGTTGTGAGGGTCTTGGTCTTCTTGACATTGAGTTGTGATCCACACTGAAGGCTGCACTCCTTGATCTTCATCAGCAAGTGCTTTGGGTCCTCCTCACATTCAGCAAGCAAAGTTGTGTCATCTGCATATCGCAGGGTGTTGATAAGCCCTCTTCCAATCCTGACGCCACATTGTTCTTCATGTAATCCGGCTTCTCTGATGATTTGCTCAACATTCAGATTGAATCAGGATGGTGCAAGGACGCAACCCTGGAACACACCTTTCCTGATGTTCTGTTCACACAACTTCCTCTTGACCCAGTCCCGAGTAGACGCAACGTACATTCTGGGAGTCCCATTCTTCTCAAGGCAGTCCATAGCGTGTTGTGACCCACACAGTGGAAAGCTGTTTGCATAGTCAAGAAAACACAAATAAGCATCTTTCTGGAGTCCTCGGCTCTCAGTCAAGTTCCTGTGAGTCAGAGTCAATAGCTGGTAGTGGGCTACAGCAACAACCACAAAACGCCCTGCCATCAAGTCCATGCCAACCCACGGTAACCCTGTAGGACAGAGTCGAACTGCCCCTGTGGGTTTCTTAGATGGAAACTCTTTATGGGAGTAGAGAGCCTCATCTTTTTCTAGCAGTGGGTTGGGAAGTTCATGTCTCTCCTCTAGGGGGCGCCGATACAACACTCCATTTCTGATTTTACGGCTCAGGCCAAAGGATTCCTGAGACCCCAGCCCTGCAGCCCACCAGCAACATGACCTCACCCCCTTCCTTAGACAGGTAGCCTCTTAGAGAAACGTCTTCCTCTCAGTAGTCTGGTAGTTGATGCACCCTAACGTATTTTTTTTTAAACATTTTATTAGGGGCTCATACAACTGTTATCGCAATCCATACACACATCAATTGTGTAAAGCCCATTTGTACATCATTCTCAAAACATTTTCTCTCCACTTAAACCCCCGATATTAGGTCCTCATTTTCCCCCTCCCTCCCCGCACACCCTAACATATTGTAATCAACTCCAAGATGAGCCCTGTCGTGAGCAGCCAAGCTATTGTGGGGAGATTAGGGTGGCGTACAACCCCTTACTCAGGCGTCAGCCTGGGGGAAGGTGGGGAAGGGGGAGACCTGCTTCGTGTATCTAAGTAGACATTCTTAAGAGCTTCCTCACAATTTGCTAGTCCAGGTACTGCATCATCGACCTCCCACTCTTTAGACTTGGACCAGTGGCCTGCCATCCTGCCCACTGGCTCTGGGAGCTATCGGAGCCTGTCAGCTGACCTTCTGGCCTTGGATTGATCCATCTCCGCATCCACCACCGGTGGTCTCCCTGCTGCATCTTCTTGCCTTTTTCAGGAGCCATGCACATCGGGCAAAGCCTGCAGTTTAACATCCGGCGCACGGACTTGGACCAGACAGAACGTAACCACTTCTGTAACAATGTGGGTCGCTTTCTTGATAGCGAGTTTCCTGTTGCTGGTTGCACTTCCCTCAAACACCCAGCCTAGCACAACTGTGCTTTCCTGCAGGGTAGCAGGCTCTTACAGAGCCAGCTCAGGCTGACATCCAGCGGGCCATCGTTGGATTGACTGGAATGGGTTCCTTAAAGCATGAGTGGACAAAGGGACTTACTGTTGTGCTCTCTAAGCACTGCAATGGGACCATCTTGAAATTCCATCTGAGGGGTGTTGAAAGAATGGAGGCCGCGCTTGAGTTTAAAGTGGTAACCTTACCGTGATCAGTCTGTTCAGCACGTGAGCCAACCAAGTGCTTCCATTTCTTTGGCTTGCTATATAAATTGCAGAGACATGCTATCTATGTTTCTATTAACTATTTAATGATTTTCTGATTAATTTACTGGTGCACTTTATCCAGTAAGGATGTTAACTCTTGGTCCTATTGGCCATAAATATTTTTTCTAGTTTGTCCTTTTCCCTTTAATTAATAGGTTTTTTATGTTGAGGAAGTGTTTATGGACACAAATCTGACCTCTTTGTCCCCCTTCTTAACTTAGAAAATGCTGCAATCAGCGATAGTCTCCAAGGGTAGGGTGATGAATGAGATTTATTAGCTGTTAGTGGGTTTTCTGTACTTGTCTTTTGCTAGAAGGCAGGTGGACCTTTTATACCCAGAACAAATGGCCACTGCTGGCTGGGCCAGCCTGTGCTACGTCTGCGCCGCCTGCCTTCTACTCCACGCTTTGATAATGAGCAGGGGAGCCTTCTACACCCAGACCTGATGGCCACTGCTGAGGGACCAGCCGTCCCTGTGTGCTCGTTACCTGCGTTCTGCTCCATGCTCTCCTTGATGTTGTCCAAGAGCTCCTGCGCATCCTCCATGCTCTCCTCCTCCTCCTCCTCCTCCTCAGCCTCCTCCTCTTCCCCTCCTTCCTTAGGTGCAACGATCATCTCCTGTGTGACACAGGGATGTGCCAATCAGGGGCTCCCCTAACGCATTCACTGCTCAGAAACCAGCCCCCGGCCACTGGTCCTGGGACCAGGGGTGGTAGCTGAAACGGATCGGATGGTTCCTCCAGGCTCAACTTGAGATGCAAATCCTGTGACTATAATCTCATTTGTCAGTGGGTGTCCTTGATATGGTAATGAGGCAGGGTTAGCATAGGGTGAGCCTGAAAGCAATCTATTTATCGATATAAAAGAGCAGAGTGGGGACCGGTTACAGGGATCTACACATTGTGGGGTTACAGGGAGAGGGGTTCCCCCCAAAACATCACAGGTCCGGTAGGTGCAATTGTAAACGATAATAAGTAAAGATTATAGTAAAGTCATAGAGAGTATGAGAGTTAAAGGATGGAGTCAAGTAATGGAGTCAGACACAATTCATGGTAGCATTGCTCACCTCAGCCCCGCTTAGTGTTCTGTGTGGAGGGAGAGAGAGAAACTTTAATGCTGCCCAAGCTTTTATCCTCTCTGGGGACGTGCAAGCTCCCTAATTACATGTGAAGACATACATCACAGGAAGGGACAGTACAATAGGTATACACATCATAGGAAGGGGATGTATGATAGGCATAAGCGTAACAGGAAGGGGATGAGCTAGG